GAAATATTTTGGGCACTTGTTATGTACCATTCCAAAATCCTCTGCTTGGCCCCGCCTCTTTCTTCATTCACTGCCCTGTCAATCTCCAGCATGAGGACTTTGGCTGCCTTTGTACAGGCACATAGAACCCTGTCTCATTTTACCCCTCTGCTCCATCCTTCTCACATCTGTCCTGGTGCCATGGGGTAAGTCAAAGGCAAGAGCTCTGTGGCCATGGAGCTTGTGCCCACTGGAAGGGTGAGGAAGTTAATGATGGCAGGAAAACTTCTGATCAAAAGGGAATGGGAAATAATGGATGAATCTTCCCATTTTATCTCCTAGTTAAACACTCATAAGACACATTGAGTAAGATCCTTCAGTGTCCCGGTGGCATCAAGCACTGGTTCCCTGCACTGGTGGCCAGTTCTTTAACACATTTCTGAATCACTTTCCATCCTTCCTCATTTCACTCCCCTGTTGTTTTTTTTGTCCTAGGATTCCCAAGAAAAGAACCTGTCTTATACTTGCAACCCAGGAGGCCAGCTAACGCACTGAGCAAAATCATGTTTTTGACACGGGGAGCTATGACGCTCCTGATTAAAACAATGACGTGCTCTCAAGGACAGACCTCCAGAATCAAGGTGGATCCAATCTTGTGTTTCCATTTACACACAGATCCTAATTCAAATGGTTTTCTCCAGAACACAGTAGACTCAAGCTGAATTCAAGAAGTCCTAATGGACCAACATGCCATGACCGCTTCGGAATGAACAATTCTCTTCCCTAATTCCAGTGCATAGTGGAATTTGGGGGTACATAGAGAAAATCATCTCAAAAGAAGCTACATTTCCTCTGTTTTTAATTTCCCACTGTCTACTCCTCCTTTGTTGGATTTTTGTGGAAATCTGTGATTAGTTGTTCATCTGTTGTCCTGTGGCTGCTGTAGTAAATCACCACAAATCAGGTGACTTAAAACATGGAAATTTATTTACTGCAGTTCTAGAGCTTAAAAGTTCAAAATCAAGGTCTTAGTAGGCCAGGCTTTCTCTGAAAACTTTATGAGGTATTTGTTCTTGCCTTTTCTTAGTTTCTGATAGTTTCTGCCAATCCTTGATGCTCCTTGACTTGCAGAGGTATAACTTCAACCCCTGCCTTCATTTTCACAGAGGGCTTTCCTTCCCTCTGTATCTAAATCAGTCTCTTCTGGACTGCAGTCATTGGATGAACGTCCACCTTATGACCTCATCCTAACTTGATTATATCTGCAAAGGCCCTATTTCCAAACAAGGTTCTGGGTAGACATGCATCTGGAAAAACATTGTTTAACCAACTATAGTTGGTAGCTAGGCTTAGGAAACAATTGGGTATTCTCTGATCCTGGTGAGATGAGGGCAACATTGAGGTAAAAGAAGGACAGAGGCTCAGAAGAATGCAAATGGAATCATGGCCCATTTGGCACTGGTGGTGGTCATAATTTAGCACTAGAGGAGTTTTAAGCTGTCCGAAGACCAGTTTTATATTTGGCTTAGGTGAGGATGCCTTTAAAGAAACAGCTCATGTATATCCAGGATGCAGAGCTGCCGAGGTCCTGACTGGCATGACCTGATTTCCCCCTGAAGAACGCTCACAGTTTTAGCTACTTAGTGGGGCAAGAATAACAGTGACTTTCTGTTTAGAAAGCGGAGGAGGAAATAATCCCAAATTAATGAGAAAATAAGTAAGCAAGAAAAACAGGTAGCTTTTAAGACCAATCCCTGGATCAGGCCTAGTGAAGTCTCCAAAGCATTTTTGGAGAACCTTTCAGGGGAGGAAGAATCTTGGCTGAGAGTCAATAATGATATTATGGGAAACTCCTAGGTGCATCAGAAGAGTGGTCCCCTCTCATTGTAAAGGACTTGGGCAAATCTCTAACTCAGGATCTGTAGGATGGAGTTGAACAGAACGTAGCCATACACTGTTCTGTGATTAGAAACTCAGTCTCCTTGAAAGCAAGGGCCACCTTTCTCTTGTTTGGTTTTGAGTCTCCCAGTCCTAGAATAATATAAGAAACTTAGGAAAATGCCCAGTAATCATTCATTGAATTAATTCTGGGAATGAACTACTTAGATAGAAGAGGGGTTATCATTTTCAAACCAGAAGCTGAAACCCAGAAGCCATGTTTTCTACAGACAAGAACATTGTTTAGGTGGCAGAACTAAATGTATTCATTAGAAAAACATTTACGAAGCACCTAATATGTGGGACACACTGTAGACAACACCGGGAAATAGAGCAATATGCATATTGTAGCTTCCATTCGTTAACATGCAATGACAGAAACACATCTATTGCTCCCACCTAGTATAATTACTTACGTAGAAGATTGATCATTTAGAAAAAATAAAAGCGTATATACTATGGTTTAGATCTAAAATGTCCCCCTAAGTTCCATGTATTAAAGGCTTAGTCCTCTACCTGGCAATGTGGGGAGGTGGTTGAACCTTTAAGAGATAGACCTAGTGAAAGGAAGTTAGGTCACTGGAGATATGTCCTTGAACCCCCTTCTCTCTCTCTCTCTCTTTCTCAGATGCCACGAGGTGAGTGGGTCCCCTCTGCCCTATGCTCTCACCATGACGTACTGGGCCACCACAGGCCCCAAACAACAGGGCCAACAACCATGGACTCAAACCTCGGAAACAGTGAGCCAAAATAAACTTTCCTTCTTATTGTGTCGGGTATTTTCCCACACTGAAGCAAAGCTGACCTGAACATGGTATAACGTTTGTATAAATATAAGAGGAAAAGAAAAGTTACATTTGATTAGGGTGATCAGAGACAGTTTTGTTGAGATTTAAAGCATAATATTAGGAAAGCAAAAATTATTTACAATATCGGCCCTCATAATCCCTTGGAATCCATTGTCTTATAGAAAGATCCAAATTAAAGTGACATTTGGAACAGAGTCAGTCCTTTATGTTGGGGGACCTGCTACACTTCTCTTATACAGAGCTCAAGGTAATGTCTTTTAGGAAAGACACAGTTCAACAGATGAATTTAAAATAATGCTGTAAACTTGAAATGTGTAGCATTTCAAGATCGCAACCAAAGTCATCCATTCTTCCCAACCCAGAGATCCTTGGTCATGGTGCAAACTTAGCTTCTGAAAGATTATAATAAAAAATGCTTGGGTGTGTATTACTTGAATTATGTATCTTCAGTAGCACTCAGAGCAAACTGTTGGACCTCTCTAATCCAATTGCTTGTTTGGCTGGACATTCTCAAACTAATCCTCAAAGGAAATTCCCACATAGAGCTTCCAGGGACCACCCATCCTACCCTGAGCCCACTGGAGATCATTTAAGATCCGGAACTCTCCCTTCAGAGCCACAATTAAATTGGCGTTTAGAAAGATCTGGATTCCACTTCCTAGACGGTAGCCAGAATAAAATGTGTGAAACCAAGAAAATTATAGTCCCACCATGAACCACCACATCTTCCGCTGTTTGGTAATTTGCTCTTTGTTCATTTATCAACTCTAAGCACTTCCTCTACCGCTCAATCCCACCTGAGAGCAGGAGCACAAGACTCAAAGAGGAACTCGGCCATCTCAGTGACCTGCATTTATATGTCCCTCTGTCAGTTACAAGGGATAGACACTCAAACTAATTTAAATGAATAAGTAGATTCACTGGGCAAAGTAATTGAAAAGTTCAGACAGGGATAGACCCGGGTACATTAAGAGTCTTTATTTTCCTCATCATCAAAACTCTGAGACAAAATATCAATGGTCATATTTGAATACTTTACCAATCCCTAAATGAGTGAGCATTGCCAGCACCATGAGGTGGACTGATTGGTCAGATATGAATCATGTGACCTCAAAAATACTGAGAACTAGAGAGAAATGGTTTCTCAAAGGCAAGTCGCGGTGCGATGTTCCAGTAAAAGCAGGAAGATCCTTGTAGGAGACAAGAACAACAGATGTCCTCTATGGAATGTAACCAAGCACTTTAGTCATGGAAAGTCCTGAAGCTCTGAACAGGGCCACTGGCCCAGCTGCCCTTGAGAATTTCATCATTGCTATGATTGGAGATCCCTCTATAGCACCCTCTTGAACTCCTTCTGCATCATCCTGCTTAATGCCATTGTGACTGGGAATATATATCAATGCTCAACTCTTGAGTTTGTTCTCAGTAAGGTCAGTTGCATCAACAAAGCTAGTTCCCCAAAGTTCTGTCTTGCCTCCAGGATAGTAGGATGGGGCAGGTTCCAGGAGTTGTCACTACCACCTCGGGGACCCAGAGCCCAGGAAGAGAACCTTAGTCAGTCCAGGCCTTCCCTAAGAAAGTCCAGGCCTTCCTTCTATACTAAGGGTCTTTTCTGGCCTGTCCAATGGATGCACTGAACTGCTCTCTCATATCCCCTGCATGAGATGCTAAAGTAATTTGCCTAATCTCACTCCCTTATTCCAACTTCTTTCTCCAAATATGAGCAGTTTTTCCTTATCTCTCTTGGTGCAATTGCGTATTTCCGCACAGAGGAGAGAAGTGGTTTATTCTTGCTCTTACTATTCCCTAGGCAGTTACTTCAAACTGCAATTTGATGTCTTCAAGCATTAGGGATGAGACATATGTAATTAGAAAAGTAAATAATGATACAAAGGCCTTATTACTGAGGTTTTTTTGGATGATTGTTCAAGTCAGAGAAACAATAGTGCTCAGAGGACAGAAATGAGCCCACACATCGGAGAGCAGAGACTGAGGAGCTGAAATCTTGGAGCAGGGCACAGCCTACACAAACAGCAGGACTTTGTATCTTGCTCACATGAGACAGAAAGTCACTCAGGTAAAACGGGGCCAGAGATGATTTTGCTGTCATGCTTGGCTCTATCTCTGCAGCCTCTATGTCCCTAATACAATCTGTTCAGCAAACAAAGGTGGCCTGTGAGCTGAGTGAGAGATGCACCTTCAGAGGCAGCAAGATCTCCTGGGAGCATCCTCCTTCATCAGATCAACGTCTCGGGGAAGACTAAGACGACTTACCTTCTGCCTCCCTTGAAGCATCCCTGGGCCTTTCCCTGGTTGTGTTGGGCATTATTTCAACTTGTCATGGGAAACGGCAGTGAATCTGCAAGAGGCAAATTCATAAATTCAACTTTGTACATAGCCAGGAAAGTGATCTGAAGATACTGTCCCCAGAATCTTCCCTCTCCCTGGGAAGAACAGAGCAAAATGCAGGATGTAAGCAAGAGTCTGCTCACAGACTAGTGACCAAGCACTAGGCTTTAGAGATGGATTTTTAAAAGGTCATTATGTTCTAAATATTTGCTTTGACATGACCCCAACATAGCCAGTTAAATAATGGGAGATTCAGCCAAATCTCCTGATTGTTTTATCATGAAAGTTCAGTTCTAAAGATAGGCACAAGACATTCACTTCAGGAAAATTCCATTTGGTCCAGTGAGGTTTCCTTTAGCATCTTGGAGGCGCTATACTATGCTAGTTTGTATGAGCAATGTGCTCTGACCCCTACCCTGAAGCTGCTCCTCATTTGTTTCTTTGATAAAGCACAAATGTTGGGTGGGATAGGAGTGCTAAGTGCTGCAAATCTGCAGAAACTCAAATTTGTTACAAATCAAGCAGATCAAAGGGACCCTGAAAGGCACTTGGATTTGTTTTCTAGAATGTCCACTGAACTGTCTTATTGGGGAAGGCACCGTGGGCTAGGGGCAGCATTCCATCCCATGGTAGCCGGGGACTGGGTAGGAAAGGAGATTGTGAAAATACCCAAGGAATCCAATTGGCCTCCATATTAGAAGCAGGGTCAGCATGAGCAGTATGCTGTGTGGCAGCAGGGGACAGAGCTGCGGCGGTGTGGAGGAGACATGGAGAGGACATGGAGAGGAGACTTGGGAAGATTCCTGGAAAAGCCAAAAGTAGAGCTGAATGTTTGAGTCCTGTGGAGAATGTGGCTTGGCAGAAAAGGGAGAAGAAACTTCCCAGACTGGGAAAGTGTCTTGTAAAGAGGTAGAGAAGGGCCCTGTGGCTCGCACACATGGCCCCAGCGCACACCCCTCTCTCTTCTTCCCAAGGCTGTGGAAGCAGAGGGCTGCTCTGTCCTGTGTGTCCTTTCCCTCACCCTGCCCTTCACAAGGGGGAGGGAAAACAGAGCTCTGGAAGCCAAGTCCCCAATTTCATGCTGATGTCGGGATGGGGGAAGGAAATCTTGAAACCTAATTGCCTCTCAGAAGAGCATTTGTCTGATTTTCCCAGGAGGTATTATCAGAGAGTACTGAGTGCAGTTGGTCACAGGGTCGCCAGGGTTTCACGTCCAGCCTGGCTCCGGGTTCCTGCATTACTCTGCCCCTGGCAAGTGAACAGCCTGATGTCAACCAGAAGTCTCACCCAGCCCCATGCCAAACCCGGAGCCCAAACCTGGTTTCTGGCAGTGGTGAACTTTTGTCTGCTCTTGCTCTCTTGCTGCTGGTCCAGCTTGACCTGGAATCCCTTGCTCCCTAATAATCAGGTTCTTGCCTATTTCTGGACCCAGCCTGTCTTAAACCCCGGTTTCCTGCTGGGCTGTGTCTTGGTCCTCAGTAATTAAGATTCAGGCTTGTTTCACCATCTCTCCAGGGAGCCTTCTTTGGAGTGCAGTCTCCTCAGTTGATGGGGTGTCCTGTCCCTGACCTCTAATACACGTCCTGCCAGATCATCCCTGATGCCAGCTTCCTGTCTATGGGGATCTACTAACTGTCTTACCCTTAGACCTCCAGTAGTTAAGGTATCCCGCCTGCCTGCAGGAGATGCAGTTAAGAGGTACCTTCCCCAATAAGACAGTTCAGTGGACATTCTAGAAAACAAAACCAAGTGCCTTTCAGGGTCCTTTTGATCTGCTTGATTTGTAACAAATTTGAGTTTCTGCAGATTTGCAGCACTTTCTAGATGTTGGTTTCCATGTCTGCCTCAACCAGTGGTGCATCTGGCCTCTTGTTTCTGCAACAACCTCAGATTCATAAATTTACATCTCTGGATGCTCACTTCTGGCCTTACTCCCTATTCAGATCTATTTGATTTATCCAAAGAAAATTTTGCCTAAGGTTCAAAACTTAATTTGGTTTTGCCCATTCCTCTAGCCAACGCCTGCATCATAACTGAAGTCCCATTGCACCAACACTGTGTTTCTCCTGTGTCAGAGGCTGGTCACTGTAGGACCAAGCTCACCTGACCTGGGAACAGGTAGAAAAACTTTCATGTTTGATTGACTCACAATCTACTGTACCTTTAGGAACATAATCCTTTTCATGTATCCCCCCAAACTACCCGAATTTCAGCTCTAAAATTTATGTATTCATTCTGGTGTTTTCTTCATATTGAAATGAATTAAAAGGAAGAACAAATGCCTTCAATTTCTGTCATTTCTTGGAAAGGGATGGGATAAGAAGTCAGAAGTCTTGGGGGTCATGGCTCTTCTAGATCAAAAAGGAAATTTGAAAAATATTCAGGAGGGAAGGTTCAAAACACCATCTCCAAAGGTCTTACCACTGCGACAGTCCTAGGGCTTATGGAATTCCCTTCCCCTGAGTGTGGGATGCACCCCATGAGTCTCCCTTAGTGAAGAGAATATGGGAACAGCAATGGCGTCACTTCTGAGATAACCCGACAAGAAGACAGCAAGACAGCTGCTCCTCTCTTGCACTCCTTTGCTCTGTCCCTTGCTTGTCTGTTCTAGGGAAAGCCACATCTCATCTTAGCAGCAACGTGATGGAGAGGTCCACGTGGCAAAGGACTGAAGCAGATCTCTGACCCTCACTCAGTGAAGAAGGTGGCCCTTCCTCCAGCCACCCACAGGGAACTGAACCCAGCCAGCACCATGTGAGTGAGTTTGGGGTCTAGTCTGAAGAGGAGACTGCAGTCCTGGCTGGTACCTCCCACGCAGTCTCATGGCAGATCCTAGGAGATGCCCAGTTAAGAGGTCCCTGGATTCCTGACCTGCCCAAGTGTGAGATAATAAATGGTTGGTTTTTTAAAGGGGATCATTTGGGGATAATTTGCTATACAACTGTAGGGGTCTAATACAAGTCTCTAAGAACTGAAGACAAACAGGCAGAAAAATTTGACTCCTACCTGCCCCAGATCTTTCCGTTACCCATGTAGCAAGACTTAGAGGAAGGCAACACATACCTAATGTGTGCCCTCTCAGTGCCCAGCACTGCCACAGAAGGTACGGAGGAGGCAGGAGAAATGAGGAACCTGGGTTAAAGTGAAAGAGCAACCACACACAGGTGTAAAAATAAACCTCAAATAAACTAATTAATAAATGGGCTGAGGATCTGAACAGACACTTCACCAAAGAAGAAATACAATGGATATACAAATATAAATTTTAAAAAAAGTTCAACATCCCTAGAAATTGGAGAAATTCAAATCAAAACCAAAATGCATTATGCTGTTATGTTTAACTCATTAAAACAAATTAAGATTTCATCTCACTCTAGTCAGAATGGTAATTATCAAGAATACAAGCAACAATAAATGTTGGTGAGGATGTGGGAGAAAAGGCACACTCATACATTGCTGGGGACTGAAAATTGGTGCAACCATATGGAAGGCAGTATGGAGGTTCCTCAGAGAACTTGGAATGAAACCACCATTTGACCCAGCTATACCCAAAGGGCTTAAAATCAGCATACTACAGTGACGCAGTCACATCAAGTCTATAGCAGCTCAATTCACAATAGCCAAACTATGGAATCAACCTAGATGCCCTTCAACAGATAAATGGATAAGGAAAATGTGGTATACATACACAGTGGAATATTACTCAGCCTTAAGGAAGAATGAAATTATGGCATTTGCAGGTAAATAGATGGAAGTAGAGAATATCATTCTAAGTGAAATAAACCAAACTCAAAAAACCAAAGGCCAAATGTTTTCTCTGATATGCAAATGCTAATTCAAAATAAGGGGAGGGAGAATAGATATATTTTGGATTAGGAAGAGGGGAATGAAGGGAGGAGAGCAGGTATGTGGGTAGGAAGGATAGTAGAATGAATTAGACATTATTACTCTGTATGCATATATGATTACATAACCGGTGGAATTCTACAACATGTACAACCAGAAGAATGAGAAGTTATACTCCATTTATGTATGATGTGCTAAAATGCATTCTGCTGTTATGTATAGCTAATTAAAACAAATTAAAAGAAAGAAAGAAAACAAGATCTCAGCACCACCGCGGCATTACTGGTTTTCCTGCCCCTGAAGTTCATAAAAACCTCTCTTACATTCCATGATTAAAAAAATATAAAAGAGAGAGAGTAAAGAAGTTCTACTTGGGGTGGATTATAATGGGACAGCCTGAATTCCACTGGGGCAGAGGCCAATAATTAGCAAGAAGAATATAGTTCCTAAGCATTGTGTGTGTGTGTGTGTGTGTGTGTGTGTGTGTGTGTGTGAACTGTATTATTTTTTAAGTGAGTCACCAATATGTAAAATTGGGGTATTTCAAGTACACATAAACTTTTTTGGTTTTCCCTGAAGTATGGAAAGATCTGGCTACACAGTATCCATACCTTGACCTTGACCATGGCTTAACACACAGTAGGCCCTCTCTTTCTCTCACGTTCAGACATGTGCTGCTCATTCTGCCACAGGCCCCACATAGGCCACTTCACCGATTTAAACTGGCTGGCATTTCAATTTTCAAATGGTGCTGTAAGCTTCTCTTTGATTATTTTTTAACTGTAGAACTTTTCACATCTTTAGTGGTTGTTGTGGCCCCAAAGAGAAAGGAATCCCTGATTCTGTGCCTCTGGTTGAGTCCCACAGACAAAAATCCAAGAGATGGTGCACCGTAGGCATTCCATATTCTCTTGCTTGGCCTCCATTCCCTAAAAGAGGACCACCAATTGTTTTTCAGGCTTTGTGCATCTCTTGCAAATAAATGCTTTCCTATATTTGCTCATTGTATTCAGGAATCCTGGGATGACTCCAAACCTCCCCTCTATTCTCAAGCGCTAGGCTCAGCTAGAGATACAACTGTGAACAAAAGAAACTGAGACCAGCTCTCACAGGTTCACAGCCACTTGGTTAGTAAACTCAAGAAGGTGAATACTATTTAAGTAAAGGCAGTGCACTGGTCAATATGAACTTTCTCGTCCCTTCTTGTCATAGGAGTCTACAATGGAACCCCACCAAGAGATTCCCGTTTCTTCTCTTTCATATCCCTTCCTTTCCTTGCACTTTTGTTGCATGGATCCAATATAAGAGGCCTTGGCCCTTTTAGGAATTTTAGCAACGTCCTGGGTTCTACATAAATCCTGAGTCTACCAGAGCTTTGGAAGAGCACAAGGAGGGCTTCCTCTCTGTTTCTCTGAAAAGGTTCCTTGCCAATTGCCCCCAGAGACATGGACCACCCCAAGTGCTCAGAAGCCATAGAAGAAGGAAGATGGAAAAGAGACTTTTAACTTCCCCAAGAAGAAAGACGCTGTCTGGATGGGCAGGGGCCACTAGGCTCTAAAGATAATCCATGCTGTCCTCATGCACGATTCACTGACTCATGGTCTGGCTCTGGCCTCTGAACCAGGGCTCTCCATCAACACACTCTAGAGGAAACAGAGGCTGCAGCCTGGGAGGCGCTTGGCCAGGGTCTCAGCCATGACCTCAGACCCTTCAGCTGCACCTGAGTACACATTTCCAGGGGAAATAGGCTCTCCATGGAGGAGCAGCACACTGGCCCCTGGGGTCCCTGTGAGATCACCCCAGCTGGCCTAAATTAGTCACACACATGCACATGAGCGCACAAGCGCGCGCGCACACACACACACACACACACACACACACACACACACACACACACTTAAAAGCCCAGAACATAGACATTTCATTTATCCTTCTTAATTCCATACTCTGACCTTCTACTAAATCAACTTTTCTTATATAATCTTCTCTTCTGCTTCCCTAAAATGTTTCCATCCTGAATTTGCTGAGCAACCAACACATTTGAGAGAGCACACTGGGCAACTCAACTCACTTCCTAAACCAGCCTCACAGCGGAGCATCAACACAGCACCCGGGCCTCAGAACCAAGGGCTTTCCTGACAAAGAAAGAGCTTCCTGTTGCAAGGGAGAGAGAGCTGGGGCTCCCACTTCCCTCTCCTTTTACCCTCTCCTTTCCCAGTTCTTTTCTCCCCTGGAATTTCAGCTTCCAGTGAAGCCACATCTCAAAACTCAAATGAGGGGAGGAGATTTCATGTCTGCCCAGCTGCATAATCCAGCTCACCCAAGGGCTGTATTACATTAACATTTGCAAGGCAGGTTTGCTGCCTCCTGGGCTGACACCTCTCCCTGCTACCCCTGTCCCCACCCCCCACAAACAAACCAAGGACTAGGGGTAAAAGAGAAAGTTTGAGTCACCCCCAAATCAGAGTGAAATAAACTGATTTCAAAGGGAATAGCCGAAAACAAGAACATGCCTAGCCATTTTGACTTCTCATTTTTTCTTCTCAATTTTTTTATTTAAAAAATATAATACGTTTTTCAAAGAACTTTTGCCATCTTGATTCATCTGGCTCTGGTGTGAAAATAAAAAAACACACACATTTATACAACCGCATAAACTTATGCAGATGAGCTCATGTCTGTTTTGCCACGTCTTCTAATGATTAAGGGAAAACAAAAAACTTACCCAGAGAAAATGCTCATCCAGCTTTACTTCTAAACACACACACACAAAAAAATCTTTCTGTATCAGTCCATGTCCAACTGAAGAGAATGAAAACCATGCTTGAATATACTAACACAGAAGGATTGGAGAACAGGGAATTAGTTACCCAGGCGATAGAGCAGCCGAGCTGAGAAGCCAGACAGGGGACGATGAGGAGAATCAGAGGGTAGTGACAGCAGGTTGCAGCTGCAAGGACAAAGGAGGAGATAGAGTCATCAGAGCCCGGGGCTGGGGGCATCAGACAGGAACTGGAACCACAGCACACCTGTCTCAGAGGATCTGGAATTCAAAAAGAGAGACAGATGCTACTGCAGATACAAGTAGCTGGGAAGGTGAAGAAGAAATAAAATGTCACCGTCTGGACCCTATTGGATATCTGTTGACCCAGGAGCCTCAGAAATGTAGTCTGAAAATGGTCAGCCCTCGAGGCTCCTGGCAGAGCTGGGGAGCAGCGGAAATGCTGCTGAGGACCAGCAGGCTCCCATCCACACAGGCTCCTCTTGCCTCCTCCCGCCTCTCTGTCTACCAGGTCCCCACTGTCATTGCTACCATCTACAGCAGGACATGAAATTCCGGAGGGGATGAAGTTTGGGACTGCAGGAAAGGTACCTTGGGCTTGAAGGTCAAAGTCACACCCAAAGTCTACCCTAAGCTCTGATCCTGGGCTTCTTCCTCTTCAATCTCTAGGATGTTGGAAATACAGTGAGTCCCAGGGAGAGCACTGGATATTACTGGGACCCCTCAGGGGACTTTTTAACCAAAGCTGGGTCAGAAGTGAATGCTTACATGGAGGGTGCCGAGTCTCCAACTGCACAAGAGCAAGGACGCTCCACAAAAGGGGACACAGAAGCAGAGAGGAGATATTGGGTGATCTTCCTGGATCACCCCAAGATTGAAGATGTTTCAGCAATAGGCCTTGCTAAACCTGTGCTCCTGGTGTCCACCTTGACCTACAAGGCTGGCACCAAGACCGCAGAGAGAGAGAAGCCACTGAGAACTATTCAAGAAGGCTCAGGAAGGAACCACGAATTTGCTCGTAAATAATCCAGGCAGTATGGAATTCAACAAATCACAGCAAAATCCCACTTTTGGCAAAATGTTTTCATTTTAATTATAACTGTGCTATTGCTGGTGTTACCGAACAGTCTTTCTCTGCCATTAAAAATCAGAAAGGGTGGGGTAGGGTGCATGGAGGGAGAAGCAAAATATAATATAAACAAGGAATGGAAAATTACCCCTGCAAAGTATAATGGCTAAACAATGACTAAGGAGGCCGTGATATGCATCAACACAAATCCATGAGTGTAAACAGTGTGGTAGGAAAGGAGATGATTGGGATGAACTAGATGGAAGAGGGAATTAGCAGAGGCAGAGTTCTTCTTTTGCTGGAGGTGGGGTTGGTGCACAGCCCCATGGGGAGGATGGCCAAGAGAGCCAGCCCCTTTCACCTTGGTCTGGGAGCCCTGACTGAGCAGGCAGTGGATAAGGGCAGAGCCTCCAGCAGCCTGGGCATCCCATAATTCACTCAACAAAGCCAAGAGAGAACAGTCAGGCAGGATTGAAGGCTGCCTCCATTCAGGACTCTGTTACACCTCTTGCTTGCTTTGTCACTCGAAATCAATGATTTGTTTCCTTGGGACTTCAGATCCTCATCTGTAAAACGAGATAAGGCATGTAGCAAATTTTTGTTGAATATCTATTATATGCCAGACATTGCTCTGGGTGCTGGGTATGCAGCAGGGGGAAAGTGCCCTAAAGAGTCAGTTTTCTGGCAGGAATAGGGGAAGATACTACAGAGGAGCAGATACAGAATTAGGGACGAGCACCATAAAGAAAAATAAAGCTGGGTAAGAGGGAAAGAGTGTGAGTATACCCGGTGTGAGCTATGTCATCAGAGGGGATGGGAAAGGACTCACTGAAAATGTGACATTTCAGCGGGGATGGAAAAGTCACAGAGGTATGTCTAGGGAGGTGCTCCAGGCAAAGGGCACAGCCAGGGCAAACGGCCTGAGCCTTCTGAAACTCATTTTATGGGCATAAATAAAGCATTAGCCCAGTTCCTGGCATATGGACAGCCCTTCATAAACACAAGCTCTTGTTTTAAATCATAAAGGAAATAGTTACAAAGCGTTTTTGCTTAAGGACTAGCGGAGAGTGTGGTGAAAGGATTGGCAAATGCCCTCAGCTCTGGGTCCTGGTTCTTTGCCTCCTGGGCCTCCCCTTCTCTCCCTGTGCAGACAGAGCTCTGAGCATTCAGTTAACCCCAAAATCAAAAAGGAGCATAGCAGCAGACAGGCCAAACCAGCAGATCCCCCGGAGGACTGTGCAAACTATGGACTTGCCCAGTTGTATTTTATTCCCTCTCCCATCAACAGGAGTAAGGAAGTTGGCATTGGAGACCATGTGCTTCAGTTGCTGGGTATGTGATATGGGACAAGTCCCATAGCCTCTCTGAGCTCACAGGGTTGTCAGGAGGATCGGATGGAATGATGACTGTGAGGGCCCTTTGTGAACCGTAAAACTGCCTTTGATGAACTGTTGCATGACGGAAATGGAGTGGATCCTCTGAGCTCACAGCCACGGTTGTGGTGGGACATGGCCCACCCACAGTTTGGATGACTAGGAGACACAAGCCTGGGACCAGCACTTGCCCGAAGGAAGTCACAAAGCCAATCAGAGTCACAAAGGGACTCTTCTGTTTTTAATACTCCCCGAGATGAGAGCTGATGGCATTTGTTTAGATTGGCACCGAAAGAGAATCATTCTGTGGTGCATCCAAGCTGCTTGGAAAAGAGTTGGTGACCCTGCCAATAATCTGATCAGCACACACCACGGCAGGGGAGGGGCGTGGGGGCAGTTCTAGCGCTCTTCCACAGAGGACACGATGAAACTGTAGGCATGGCGCGATTTCAGACGAGGATCAGTGCCGTGCTAAGACCCCACAGGGCTTTCGGGTCCTGCCAACCAGAACCCGAAGGTAGAGATGCATGAACAGTTTCGTTATCTCTTATTATTTCAGGATCACCGAAGTTTAGAGCCAAAAGAAATGAAGAAGTCTCTGCCAGTGAATCTTTTGAAGTGCTGGAGCTTAAACAACCTCTTAGAAGTTATAGAACGCATCGCCGTGACTCTTCCCTTTAAGGACCATAACCGCCTAGCCACATTCCAGGCTGTTACTGAGCATGAAGTCAGAGAGGGACTTCTCCTGAAATTCAATTTAGTAATAATTACTGGCTGAAAGGGAGGACAGAGAGGGACAAAGAGGACCCATTTTAAACTCCTCAGACCTGCCCCACATTTCTTTCACAACAACAGACATCTGATTGGGTTGAGTCAGCGCAGGTTGGATGCGGTTGGCCACCCACATGCTCATTCTTAGTCAGAAGTTCAAAGAGTGGCTTAGTTGGTATCTGACAGGGTTGTAAGGGCGCTCTCCACCCAAGCTTGATGTCATGCCATGGGGTTGGGAGAGGACACTGCGGAATGAAGAAGATTCTTTCAAGTCTTCCAAGAACAGGGCTTTCAGGAATTCTGAAATGTTCCTTCTGCTCTAAAGACGCACGATCTCACATTAAATGCCCTGTCCCATAATTCTCAGGCAAGTATATCTCACCCTCTTTCCATTGATCAGTTGAGGGAAATTTTTATGATACAAAGCCCAGATTTTAACCCAACTTGGGGTAAGCACCTTCTGCCACTCAGGAGAGGAGAAGAAAGATATAATGCCCATAAACATGCCACCACATTCTCCAGAGATCATGAATAATCAAGGCTGTCCAACCTGACAGGCAGCTGGCCAACGTGTGCACACTATGATCATTCTCCTTTGAAGAGGGCCAATGTCATCTAGATCTTTCCTTCCACCTAAACTTCCCACTATCTCGGAAGCATACCTGGTGGCTAATGGTTGGCCATTAATAACTTTGGCTTAATGTGAGGGCTCTGGATTATCTACTAGTGGAGGAGAAAGAACAGGAAAGAGAAACAAGAAGATTCAAGAGACATAAAGGAGGAAAGGAGAAAGGGGAGAAAATAAACAGAAAGAATAAAAAGGGGGAGAAATTGACAAGGAGGTTGCATGATTTACATTAAAAAAATGTGAGCCTAGAAATCTAAACTGGGTTCAAATTGTACCTTAGTCTCTACTTTTTTTGCACCAGTTATAAATGAAAAGTAGGAGTTTTGCCAGTGGCAGAATGGTAGCCAATGAGGTTTTTCCATGGCATGATTATTGCTAATTGAAAAATAGAAAGGAAGGAAAGAATAAAGGAGGAAGGAAGGGGGAAGCGAGGTAGAGAAGAGACCCCCGTAGTTAAGGAAGCAGGTAGAAATCAGACTTGCATCCTTACCACCAGCTCCCAGGGCCTGTCACTTTCTTCCCTCCATCGCCACACACTCATCTCTTTCTAGTCCTGTCTCAAGCCTAAGAGAGACCCAGCATCTATTCCGAGCCAGGCTTCCAACAACTCAGACATTTCTTGAAGCTTCAGCTCTAGGAGCTTTGGGATCCTGAAGACTCGGATCCCAGGAGATTTTAACTCCTAAGTAGAATGCCTAGACCCCAGGATCAGATTTCATCTGACTACTGTGAAGTACTTAACCACACTAGAAAAAAGAATCGAACAAAAACACATTTGCCAACCTGAAACTTGTGCCCCTGATCTTGGTGCCTCCAGCTACCCACATTTGGCAGCCAGCTGGGGAGTCTTAACGCGAAAGTGAAGAACAAGCCCACGAGCCTGGGGCAGATTTGAGTTCTGAGTCCCACAGAAGGACCTTCATTAGCAGCCAATGTTTTAAAATATGTTTGACAAGCAAATAGAAAAAAAATGTCTATAAATGCCTCTACTATAACATACCTGTTTGTTTTGCGGATTGGGTTGGGTTTTTGTTTTGAGAAAAAAAGGTGAAACTTTGGAAGAGGATGGCTGACTTATTCAAAGTACTGTGTCTCATGGTTTCTATCTTTGGGACTAAAAGGACTTCCTTCTGTGGATAAGTCCTCAGAACAGCATTATTCAGCATTATTCAAAGGCCTTACCTAAGAGTCCCATCATCTTGCCCAGAG